CTTTGCCCAACTTTCCGCCCCGCTTGCAGCGAGGGGACAGCTCCGAGCTGCTCCGCTTTTCTCAACCTCTTAACGATTTTAGTTTTACATTTTTGGAGACTTGCCGGGTCGGGCCGGGTAGGAGCGGTGTGCAATGCGGTCCCTCTGTCCGCAGCGCTCCTTGGGGGAACTTTCAAAGCCTCTTAAAAATCGCTCTGCAAAGAGTTGCGCGCTGCGGCGGGCGAGAAATCATAGCACTCGATCGCTTTCTCAGAAATCCGGAGGGCTCTCTGAGCTCATTGCTGTGCCCTCCGGGAAAAAGAACAAAAAGAAAGAAAGAAAGAAAGAAAAACTTAAAATTAAAAAGAAAAGAAAAAAAAAGTATGAAGTTTTCGGGGGAGGGGGGGAAAGAAGGAAGAAAATATATATGTATGCATCGAGGCGCGTGGTGTGCCCGCACTCGCTCCTCTCTTGCAATAAGGAAGGGGCCGGGGGCCCCGCAGTCACTCTGGGTGCACAGCTGGGGGGGCCGTGCGGGGCTGTGGGGCTCCCGGCCGTGTCACTGCCCTGACGGAGGGGTTCGGGTGCTGGAGGGGCTTTGCTGGTGGCGTCCCTTTATTTTTCCTTTTTTTTCGCCCCTCCTTTATCCTTACTTTCGCTCCCAGAAAGTCTTCCAGCTGGGCCGGGTGGGGGTTGGGGGTGGGAATCAAAAGCCCGAAAGCGTACGTCCTTAGATTACAATTTCGGGGTCGTTATTGTGCATTCACACACGCGTTTTATTTTGATTTCTCACTCTTTTCTTTTATTTTGTTCCAAGTGAAGGAAAGTTAATTCAAAATGGCTGCTGGAACCGCTGGGGTTTATTCTTAGCCCGGCCGAAGGGTGCCGGGAGATGCGCGGCAGCGGGCGGGCCGGGCCGGGGGCGATGGGGGTCGGTAGGGAGCAACGCTCGGAGCCGCTCCGCGGGCGCGCAGCCGCGGGACTGACGGTCGGTGCGTTCGGTCCGTGCTGCTCTCATTTGTGTTCTTTTTTTTTTTCTTTTTTTTTTTTTCTTTCTCTCCCTCCCTCCTCCCTCCTTCTGTGTGTGCGTGCGTGTGTGTGTGACCATTGTATTTTCTTGCAGACACCCCCTGTTCCCTCTTTTAGCACTGATTTTTGAGAAATGTGAATTAGCCACATGCACGCCCAGGGAACCCGGGGTAGCGGGAGGCGATGTTTGCTCCTCTGAGTCTTTCAATGAAGACATAGCAGTGTTCGCCAAACAGGTCAGCACCGAAAAAAAAAAAAAAAAAAAAAAAAAAAAAATCCCCAACGAGAAAAACAAGTCTTGGCCGAGATAAAGATGCGCGTTTCCCCCCCACCCCCCCCCTCGTACTGTGGGATGTGAAAGCAAAGCAAAGCGGCCCCCCGAATAGGGGGCTGTGGGCGCTCCCCGCAGTGCCCGATCTCGGGTCCCCGCCGGCCGGGCCGGGCCGCAGCGTCTCGGGGCTCCGTGGGAGCACGGAGGGTTGCACCGTGGGCCCGGCAGTGTAACGAAGCGAGAAGTAATAACGTCTGCTCGTGCTGCTGCCGCATCTCAAATCTTTCGTATATTTCACACACCACCCCCCCCCCCCCCCCCCCCTTCTCCTTTCTTCTATTTAGATCCGAGCAGAGAAACCCCTCTTTTCCTCTAATCCCGAACTGGATAACTTGGTAAGAGTTAACACCGCTTCTTCCTCTCCCCACCCCCACCCCTTCCCTTCCCTTCCCTTCCCT